AGAGGCCCTCAAAAACCGCCCCCTTGCTCCCAAAGATCTCTCTGTTCATCCTGGTTGTCCGCTTTGTTTCGCTACACGTGTACCCTCGTCCCTTTTCACGTCAGCTCTCATGGGCAGGGTTTCTGAACGGGCGGGTGGGGATACTTTTTCTGTCGCAGCCGCAGGCGAGAGCGCCGGCGGCGAGTAAGGTCCAAGCGGGCCGTGCGAAAGCCTAATTGCCTAGCGCCGACGAGCCGACGACCACGGGTGGGGATACGCGAAGCATGAAGAGTCTCTCGAAGAGAGTCCAGCCGTGGCGACGAGAGCACTCCAGGAAGAGCAGCGGCATCGACACCGTGTCCTCCTCGGCTTCTGCGCGCCGCCGACTCCTGCTGCCCAGCGGCCCGTCGGGGCCTCTTCCAGCAGGACCAGACAGAGGAGGAGGTGGAGGAGGAGGACGAGGAGGAGGAGGAGGAGGAGGAGGAGGAGGAGGAAGAGGGAGGAGGAGGAGGAGGAGGAGGAGGAGGAGGAGGAGGAGGAGGAGGAGGAGGGGGAGGAGGAGGAGGAGGAGGAGGAGAGGAGGGAGGAGGAGGAGGAGGAGGAGGAGGAGGAGGGAGGGAGGGAGGGAGGGAGGGAGGGAGGGAGGGAGGGAGAGAGGGAGGGAGGGAGGGAGGGAGGAGGAGAAGGATCGAGGAGGAGGAGGAGGAGGAGGAGCAAAGGGAGCAGAGGAAAGGCAGGGACCTGGCTGGCGGCGCACACCAGGCGGGGGGAGGGGGGAGGCCTCGTAGAAGGAGGCTGCTGCTTAGAAAGCGCCAGCCTCACATCTACAGGGCAATTGTTTTAACATCGGATAAAAAAAACATAGGATTTTAAGCAGATGGTTAATTTAGGCACGAACTCATCGTTGGTTTTTTATACTATATCCCTGCATTTGTATACATGATCCGCACGCGGAGCATGTATAAAAAAAACGGCACTGTACAGACAAGGCCAGCGCCTCGTAGAAGCAGGGGTGTCTCTGAGAAGCCATCCCCCATCCCCCTGCCCCCCTCTGCGCGTGGCCGACTCGACCAGGCAAGCGATCGTCAGTCCAGGCGCGGGTCGCGTTGGGAGCGAGCAAGAACCCGAGGCCAGCGCCGCCCTCGGCATCTCCGGCCACAAAGTACTTGGAGCTGCCCTGCGAGGCCATGACCAGCGCCGTGATCCGCGGGACCACCCCGTCGTCTGTGGCGGTGAGCTGCATCCGCTTGAGCAGCAGGGTTGTGATGTTGACCTTGGGCGAATTTTTGGTGCCCCAAGTCCTGAGCCGAACGGGGCAGAAAAAGTGGCGTAAAACCATATGTTGCCTTGATCCGTGGGGTGCCCAGATCTAGGGGTGATGTTGACCTCGGGTCCCCCAGAGGAGCGACGCCGAGAAGCAGCCCCCCCCCCAACGAGGTGCCAAGCCAAGCACACCGCTGCCTGCTGCCACGCCTGCTCTTCGGACATGCTCGCGAAGCCTCGCTCGGCAGGATCTGCTCGCAAGGACACGTCGGTAACCACTCGCGGACGGCTGCTGGCGAGAGGCTCGCTTGCACAACCCACGGAAGAGAAAGGGACAAGAACTGATGCCGCTACTCTCGGGGAGACGTAAGACTCGGGTACGGGGGACTCGGGCTGGCCCCACGGGGCCTACAAAAAAATGACGAGGCCCAATCTGAAATTTGACGCGAGCTCCCGCTGCAGACATCCCACGGAAACTGGGCCGTCAAGATCCAGGACGCGCTCGTCAAAAAAGCGTCGGCAAACCCGAGTGCCGGCTTACTCGGGTCTTGCGTTTCCCCGCCACTCCCCAGACCTCTCCCGGGGTGCGTCCTGAGCAGGACTTCAGTGAAACAAGAAGAGGCGCCATGAGATCTGGGGAGATATCATGGCCCCCGCCATGATATCCACCCCCCCCTAGTCATCACCCCCCTCTTCTCCGCCCCAGAAACTGCTGCCGCCACTCCCCAGACCTCTCCCGGGGTGCGTCCTGAGCAGGACTCCGAGGAGCATCCGGCCGTGGCGACGAAGGCCCTCCAGGGCGAGCGGCGGTGTCGGGAGCTCGTCCCCCTCGGAAGAGCACGGCGGCCCAAGCCAGCCGCGCTTCGCGCTCTGTACGGACCAGGACAAGAGCTGTGTTGGGCCGACGGTATCTCTGGGGGAACAAAAAGTGGCATAAACATAACAACTCGGAGGTCCGCGCGGATTTCCCGGATCGGCGCTGGGGCCCCCCGGCGGCGCCTCCGGCGCCGCCCCTGGCGCGCTCCGCGCGCCAGGGGGGGGGTCCAGCACCGATCCGAGAAATCCGCGCGGACCTCCGAATTTTTATGTTTATGTTCCCGGAAAAGGCGTGGGCCCAGGGTTCTCTTTTAGAAGTTTGCCCCCGGAATCGACGGGAAGAGGGCCAGCGGAATTATTCTGCGATCAATTACTTGCGGGAAGAGGGCCGGCTGAATTATTTTTGAGGATGTCCCTAGCGAAACGCTTGTTTTTTCAGATTTGTTGAGGATATCTCGAGCGAAACGCTGGTTTTGCAGAGTTTGGGATGTCTCGAGCGAAACGCTTGTTTTCGGAATTTGTTGAGGGTGTCTCAAGCGGAACGCTGGTTTTGCAGAGCCGACCGCGACGCAGAAAAGCGCCCCCGCGCGCAGGAATTCCGATGATGTTCCGCGCGTGCCGCGTCCCGTGCGCATGAATTTCGAGGATGTCTCGACTAATTCGTTCGTTTTGCCAGGATGTCCTTGAATTTTGGCAGGATGTCTCGAGCGAAATGCTTGCCTTTCATAATTTGTTGAAGACGTTTCGAGCGGAACGCTGGTTTTGCAAAATTGGGGAATGTCTCGAGCGGGGGCCTCGTGGGGTGGGGGTCCAGAATCCAGAGGATGTCTCACGTGAAATGCTTGTTTTCACGCCCCGCTCGCAAGAATTCCGAGGATGTCTCGCGCGTGCCGCGTCCCGCGCGTAGGAATTCTGAGGATGTTGGCAGGATGTTTCGAGCGAAACGCTTGTCCCCAGCACGTTCCGTAGCGCGTCCCCTTGGCACGTCCCGCGGTGCATCCCCATGGCACGATCCTTGGCACGTCGCTTGGCGGGTCCCTTGAGACGTTCCGCGTCGCGTCCTCCTGGCATGTCCCCTTGTCCATCAGCTCTGGGGCAGCTACTATGTGTTCAGGCAGCTCGAGCTTAACATCCAGATCAGTTCGGTCAGGACTCGGATGCAAAGGAGGACTCGATCCACGAGACTATAGAGCACAATCGCGGCATGGCGCATCGCAATTCAGCACGGCGCAGCACAGCACATATTTCGGCACGGTACATCAAGATCGATACACTCAGCATTGCAACTTGGCACGTTCCTTGGCACGTTCCGTGGCGCGTCCCTTGGCGAGTCTCCCTGGCACGTCGCGTGGCGCGCCCCTGGCACATCCCGTGGCAGATCCATTGGCACGTTCCGTAGCGCGTCCCCTTGGCACGTCCCGCGGTGCGACCCCATGGCATGTCCCCTGGCACGTCGCCTGGCGCATCCCTTGGGACGTTTCGCGGCGCGTCCTCCTGACATGCTCCCCTGTCCATCAGCTCTGGGGCAGCTACTATGTGTTCAGGCAGCTCGAGCTTAACATCCAGATCAGTTCGGTCAGGACTCGGATGCAAAGGAGGACTCGATCCACAACGCTACAGCGCACAATCGCGGCATGGCACAGCGCAATTCAGCACGGTGCAGCACAGCACAGCCCTCGGCAGGGTACATCAAGATCGATACACTCAGCATTGCATTTGCCCGTCATCCAATCAGGTGTCTTTGAAAACGCTGCCATGTGTTACAGTTCTATATTCCTTTCCGGGTTCGTGGGTCGATCATGTTTATGTCACTTGTTGTTCCCCTAATCTCGGCCGACTGCGCTCGGCAAGCGCCAGGAGCGTAGATTCAAGTCGGGCCTGTCCCCCTACAGGGGGATTTTGGATGACAAAATAAAAATACTCACAAAATGCCAAAATAAATATACCCAACAATTTTCAAAAAACGAGTCCCCAGACAATTTTTTGAAACTATTTTTGAATATTCCCCCTGTAGAGGGACAGGCCCGACTGAAGCGTAGATCGCGCGCCGCCCAAAAACGAGCACGAGGCTGCCCCGCGGAGGGGACGCCCCGACGTGCGGCGCCCTTCTCAACGCCTGCTCTCGGCACAGCCACCGAGGCCTCGAGCCGAGGAGCACAGGGGCGGCGGGGACGGCGAGGCCGCGCGAGGCACTCTCGAGCGTGCCTGTCCGCACGCGCGCGCGCGCGCAGGAAGCACAAGCAGCACCCGCTCCCCTGGGGCCCAACTGTGCTGAGGAAAAGAGTGTGGGGGGGGGGGAGCCGGAGAGGCGGAAGCGGGGGAGGGGCGCAGAGGGGAGGGAAGGGGCAGGGGAGGGCGGAGGGAGGGCGGAGGGAGGCCCTCCCCTCCTCAGGCCCGACCGCAGGGGGCATCGGCGATCGGGCGGCCCTCCGACGGCCTGGGCCGACAGAAGCACGGACCGGTGGCTTCAGGTACGGCGAGGCCTTCTCCTCCGCCGGGCCGCCGGGGCCCGCCTTCCTCTTCTCCTTCGAGGGGCGCTGCTGTCGCACGGTGACCTTGTGGGCGCGGATCTCCCCGCTGGCGTCTCCGGTGACGACCACGGGCTCCTCCGGCGCGAGGGAGGTGGCCAGGTGGCTGACGGGGTGCTCGTGGCCCGTGGAGAAGGAGTGCACCAGCTCCCCCGCGGGCGCGAAGAGCTCGACCGTCCCGTCCTCCCGCGCCACCACCAGCAGGGACGGGGGCGCGGAGCCCTGCGAGGCGGACGCGGGGGCGGAGGGGCTCGCCGAGTCTTCCGGTGCTGCCTTGGCGCTGTGGAGAGGCAGGAACTTGACGAGGCTCGCGGCGCCCTGCAGCGGGATGACCGCCTTGGAGAGCAGATAGTCCTCAGGAGCTGCTACGGGCGTAGGATCGCCTGCTGTGGCCATCTGTGACAGCAGCGGCACCTGCGGGGATTGAAGCTCGTACGCCTACCCTCGAGGAAGAAAAAACGCATGAACATACACTTTCGACGGTCCGCGCGGATTTCTTGGATTTGCGCTGGGCCCCCTCCTCCTTGGCGCGCGGAGCGCGCCAGGGGCGGCGCCTGAGGCGCCGCCAGGAGGCCCCAGCGCGGATCAGAGAAATCCGCGCGGAGCGCCGAAAGTTTACGTTTGCTCCCCAATCAGTGCTTGCACTGAAGGGGTCCTCGCGGAAGTTGAAGGTTGATCGTGAGACCGAGAGTGGCATCGATTCAATGAGACGATAGTGAGATCGATCGCGAGATCGCTCATGCGATCTCCAGTGAGATCGCTTGTGAGATTGATAGTGAGATCGATTGTGAGATCGATGGTGAGATCGATCGAGAAGTCTTTGATGAGATCGATGGTGAGACCGATCGATCAGAAGATCGACCAAGAACCCGGGAACCTGGGAAAAATCGCCGCCCTCCGAAATCGGCCTGGAACCCGGAACCAGGAATCTCACTATCGATCTCATTGAATCGATTTCACTCTCGGTCTCACGATCGACCTTGCAATCGTCATCACTATCGATTCCACTATCGATCTCACAATCGATCTCCCAAACGATCTCAAGATCCATCGTATCAATTTTCAATTCATCCATTGATCGGGATTTCCTCAGGTGTAATGTGTTCTTTTCTTCTTCGATACCCTACATGCTCCACGCTTGTCGGGTTAACTACTCGTGAGTGAATGAACTATCAAGGCCTCGAACCCCAGATTACCGGGGGGGGCGCGTCACGTGTTCCCACATGACTTGTTTCGGCGCCGAGCAGCTCCACGTCTGGCCGGAGGGGCCCCAAGAGGCCCACAGCACAGCCCGAGAGGGCCCCGAGTCGCCGAAAGATTGCTCCGAGGCGCCCCAAGAGGGCTGCAATGAGCCCCCCACGAGGCCCAAGAGGGGCCCAAGATAACCCCTACAGGGGGGAACACGAATCGACGTCTCGAGCCCTCCGCCCCAAGACGATCTCAGAGACCGCCAGCTGGCCTCCGAGAAGCCACCCAGAATCTCCAGGCCCAAGAGGCCCCGAAGGGGCCCCCAAACCGCCTCCAAGGCGCTCTCGAGCGGCCTCTCAAGAGATCAACACAGGCATCCAAGATGCATAAACACGGTGGCGGAGTTGGCCGAATACCAATAGACCTGGCCCGGCACAGAAACGGAAAGAGCGCTTCAGAAACAGAAACCGAAATTACTCACACCACCGTTCGTACTGGGAGCCTTGGCGTTGAGAGCTTGTTACGTCACCCCTCGCTCTTGGGAGCCTTGGTGTTCAGAGATTGTTGCGTTGCCGCCCGTTCCTGAGCCTTGGCTGGGCCTTGGTGTCAGGAACTTGTTACGTCACCGCTCTCTGCTGGGAGCCTTGGTCTTATCAGCTTGTTTACGTCACCGTTCGCTCTTGGGAGCCTTGGTGTGAAGAGCTTTTTGCATTACCGATCGCTCTTGGCGTCTCTGGGCCTTCGTGGGAGTCCTATTGGGGCCCTTTTCGGGCTCTCCTGGTGGCCTCTTGGAGGCCTCTTGGGGCTTCTTGGGGGTCTGTGGGAGCCTCCTGGGAGCGCCTTGGGGGGAAAAGCCAGACTTTCGGGTTCGTGGTTACCCTCTTGGGGCTGTGTTGGGGCCCTCTTGGGCCGTCTGGGGCGCCTCTTGGGCCGTCTTGGCGCCCTCTTGGGCCGTTTGGGGGCCTCTGGGCCTCTTGGGCCGTCGTCAGCGCCGTGAAAGCTGAAAACCCATGTATGCTAAAAATGCATGTTTTCCCGTAGCAAATCTATGATTTTGGCCTCCTGATGGCCTCGTGGGACGCCTCTTGGGTCTTGGGGGCCTCTTGGGGCTTCTTGGGAGGCTGTGGGGGCCTCCCGGGAGCGTCTTGGGGCGATAGGCTCGACTTTTCGGTTCGTGGTCCCCCTCTTGGGGCCGTCTTGGGGCCCTCTTGGGCCGTCTGGGGCGCATCTTGGGCCGTCTGGGGGCCCTCTTGGGCCGTTTTGGGGGCCTCTTGGGAGCCTCTTGGGCAGTCTTGGGGGCGGTCTTTGGGGCCTCTTGGGCCGTCGTCAACGCCGTGAAAGACGAAAAGCCGTATATGCTACAAATATAATGTTTCCGCTGGAAAATCCGCCGACCCCTTGGGGATCATCGGCGTGTGAGATGCTTTCCCCCTCCCCAAACCCCTCCCCCGGGAGCCTGGTCCGGTCGATTTGGAGGGGGGGGGGGGGGTCCACCACGAGCGCGTCATGGGGCTCTTTCGGTCCCAAGAGGGGCTACAGACCGCCCAGGAATGCCCCAAGAGGCCTCCAAGACCGCCCACGAGCGCCTCGAAACGCCAAACGAGCGCTCGGAGACGCCCAAGGTGTGCCCAAGACAGCCCAAGAGGCCTCCAAGACGGCCCAAGAGGTCCCCAAGAGGCCTCTTGGGAGCGGCCCAAGAAGGCCAAAATCGTTGATTTTCCATTGGTTTTTGAAGGAAGGGGGCCTTCTCGCCCTTTCGGCTTTCCGACGCTCCAAGACGGCCCAAGAAGCTCCCAAAACCGCCCCAAGACGGCCCAATAGTCCCCCAAGACGGCCCCAAGACGGCCAGAGAGGGCCCAAAGACGGCCCAAGAGCCGCCCCAGACGGCCCAAAAGGCTCCCAAGACGAGCCCAAGAGGGGGTGAAGAGGGGGACCCGAAACCGAAAATCCGAGTCTTCCGCCCCAAGAGCCTTCCAGGAAGCCCCAAGAGGCCCCCAAGAAGCCACAAATAAGCCCCAACAACCCCCGAGAGGCCCACAATAGACCCCAAGAGACCCCAGAACGGCCCCCAAGAGACTTCAAGAGTGCTCCGAGAAGGCCCCTGACAGACATACCAGGACACCTTCAAGAGGCTCCAAAGACGGCTGCAAGAGGGGGGACAATGTACATCAAGGGGTCGGCGGTGTGGCGTAAGCCCAAGAATCGATGATTTTGGCCTCTTGGGGCCCTCTTGGGACGCCCCTTGGGCGCCTCTTGCGGGCCTCTTGGGGGCCTCTTGGGCCGTCTTGGGCGGTCTTGGGCTCTCTCGGAGCGCTCTTGGGCCGTCTTGGGGGAGAGCCCTAAAAACATGCAAAAACCCGAGGGAAAACCCAAAAACGGCCATTAACCACGCTTCGCCCCTCCCCTGGAACCCCTCCCTCTGGGGCTTCGCCCCGACACAACGTCATCGCTCGCACCTCGCTCTTTCCGTTCTTCGCCGCTCCCTGTGGATTCATCGCAGGGGGGCCTGGCTTGCTAAATCCTTTTGTTTTGGGTTTTGGTTCTTTATCCAAAAGATCTCGCCCAAGGGCTTCGGCCCATCCCGCCGGCCACCCGGAAAGATCCTCCAGAGGTGGTTGCCAAGGGTTTTTCCTGCTCCAGACGGCTCCAAGAAGGCCCAAGATGGCGTCCAAGATCGCCCAAGACGGCCAAGATGGCCTCCAAGACGGCTACGATGGCCCCGAAATGCCTCCAGGACGGCCCAAGATGCACCCAAGACGGCCTAAGATAGCCTTAAGATGACCCAAGACGGCCCAAAAACCCCCGAAGAGGTCTCCAAGACAGCCCAAGAGGCCTCCAAAAGGTCCTCCAAAGGCCCGAAGAGGCCAAAATCATGCATTTTCCATATGTTTTTGAAGGACCTTTGCAGTGTCGCTTTTTCCCGGAAAAGGCGTGGGCCCAGGGTTCTCTTTTAGAAGTTCGCCTCCGGAATCGACGGGAAGAGGGCCGGCGGAATTATTCTGCGATAAATTACGTGCGGGAAGAGGGCCCGCTGAATTATTGAGGATGTCCCTAGCGAAACGCTTGTTTTTCAGAACTTGTTGAGGATGTCTCGAGCGAAACGCTTGTTTTGCAGAGTTGGGGATGTCTCGAGCGAAACGCTTGTTTTCAGAATTTGTTGAGGGTGTCTCAAGCGAAACGCTGGTTTTGCAGAGCCCACCGCGACGCGGAAAAGCACCCCGCGCGCTGGAATTCCGATGATGTTTCGCGCGTGCCGCGTCCCGCGCGCAGGAATTTCGAGGATGTCTCGACTAATGCGTTTGTTTTGCCAGGATGTCCTTGAATTTTGGCAGGATGTCTCGAGCGAAATGCTTGTCTTTCATAATTTGTTGAAGACGTTTCGAGCGAAACGCTGGTTTTGCAAAATTGGGGGATGTCTCAGCGGGGGCCTCGTGGGGGGCCTCGTGGGGGTCCAGAATTCAAAGGATGTCTCAGGCGAAATGCTTGTTTTCACGTCCCGCTCGCAAGAATTCCGAGGATGTCTCGCGCGTGCCGCGTCCCGCGCGCAGGAATTCTGAGGATGTTGGCAGGCTGTCTCGAGCGAAACGCTTGTCCCCAGCACGTTCCGTAGCGCGTCCCCTTGGCACGTCCCGCGGTGCGTCTCCATGGCACGTCCCTTGGCACGTCGCTTGGCGGGTCCCTTGAGACGTTCCGCGTCGCGTCCTCCTGGCATGTCCCCTTGTCAATTAGCTCTGGGGCAGCTACTAGGTGTTCAGGCAGCTCGAGCTTAAGATCCAGATCAGTTCGGTCAGGACTCGGATGCAAAGGAGGACTCGATCCACGAGGCTAGAGCACAATCGCGGCATGGCACATCGCAATTCAGCACGGCGCAGCACAGCACAAATTTCGGCACGGGACAGCAAGATCGATACGCTCAGCATTGCAACTTGGCACGTTCCTCGGCACGTTCCGTGGGGCGTCCCTTGGCGAGTCCCCCTGGCACGTCGCGTGGCGCGTCCCTTGGCACATCCCGTGGCACATCCATTGGCACGTTCCGTAGCGCGTCCCCTTGGCACGTCCCGCGGTGCGACCCCATGGCACGTCCCCTGGCATGCCGCCTGGCGCCATCCCTTAGGACTTTTCGCGGCGCGTCCTCCTGGCATGTTCCCCTGTCCATTAACTCTTGGGCAGCTTCTATGTGTTCAGGCAGCTCGAGCTTAAGATCCAGATCAGTTCGGTCAGGACTC